TACCGGCTCAACATTACATGCAGTCGACATGCCGGGTAGTCTGACAGGGGAGGTGATGATGATTCTCTTCTCGTCGCCGCTGACTATGTTCACACGCCCAGCCATTTTTCTTGGTAAAGTTTCCCTTTCAAACCTGACGGTCTATAGGGCAAGTGAAGTAGAGTTCACTTGTTTCTTTGACCTCGGCATATGAAGAGATAGTGTGGTCAGCACTATGCCGAGCCGCCTTTACTTTCCCTAACGTGAGTTAGATACCCATCAAAGTTGGGTGGACTCAGGGAAGGTCTACTGACTTGAACCCGGATTCGAACTCGAGACTTACGGGTTAGCAGTCCAGCTATTTTTCTTGGTGGTAATAAAGAATCTATATGCAAAAATATCGTCAATCTGCTTGCCATTAAAAAGCTTCAAAATAAACAATTTAAAACAAAACAAAAAAAAACCTTTGAAAGAAAACAAATTCAAAACGTATTCATATATTTATATTAATATCAATTTATTGAAATGTTGGTTCCATTTTTTCCAAGTCAAACATCGATTTTATGATAAACCATTAAACGTTGAACAAAATAAACGCAACATTTTAAAAATAAAACATTACACAGAATATAATTTTAACGAGTCATTAACTTAATAATAAACAACAAAAAATGTATAATAGAAGCAACATAAAATAAAAATAAAAACATAAATGCACTTTAAGTTTGTAATTGTGTTCTTTAATTATGCTTACTTTAAATATTAAATTACTCAGCAAACATCTCAAATCATTGAAGATGATACTGGTTGTATATCTACAGTATTCACATTGTGATGAAATACGACTTTAGTCGGATGTGATGAAATAATGTATGAGGGTTAGATCTTAGCTTAACAGTGGAAACAAATACAATTACAAAGTGGAAAAGATGCTGTAAAATATTAGTAAACATCTGCTTGACCTATTGTATATGCGTAAGTTTGAAATTAGAGTTACAAATAAATTATATGTACTAAAAAGAAAAATTCAAGTATTTTAAAAAAGTTTGACTAGTTATAGCTACACTGTGAAACGGATTTTGATTGAAGTCCAATTTGCTGCTAAAACAACATAAACATTCACTAGAGAATAAGGTTTTGATGTTATAAGTAGTCACTGTTAAATAAACTATATTTATCTTATAAGCCTAATACGTAAAGAAATATTCAAACACACACACCCAAAAAAAAGTAGAAAACAGTAAGGTAAACTGAAGCAAATTCAACAAAAAAGTTTAAAGTATTCTATAAATAGTCGAATCCAAAAGGCCGTATGGGTATTCGAATATATGGTTTGCAGAATCGATACCAAGGCCGAGAGAGGTTTTCGAATTGAAAGAAAGGTATTAACAGTAACGGTATCGTAATCGTTTCGGGCGTTGACTGGATTGAATGATACACAAAAATTTTTTTCACAATATCTGGAAGTTAAAAAAAAAAGATTGAAAGATGATAATGCCCTAATGTCATGTTGATGCATGACATATGTCATGTAGGTACATGACATGACATGAAAACAATCCCATCACACAAATGTCATCTATACAACATTGCTATATCGATACATATAATACCAAACACACCACTATCAAAAGTTAGAAAAAATATTGCACTCACAGAGGGAATTATCGAATACATCTGGGGAATAATTTTACAAAGTTGACTTTTTTCCATAGCACCTTTATTTTCTACGAAACAACACACTTGAGATGAGTGTGATAGAGGGACACATTTTTCCCAAGGTGCTGATGGAAATGTCCAGCGTGAAGACGGGCTCCCCTCCCAGTTTTTGACTGTCAGATATGTCCTTAGCGTGGGGTGTTTGCAGAAAAACACGACCAACACCACATGCCCGAAATAACCCGATGTTTAGTTTATCCCAACCCCGAAATTTTCGGACGTACAGAATAGCCCGACCATCAAAACTATCCGACTTGCAAGATAGCTGGTCCCAAAAACTGTCCCTACGGAATAGCCCAACCCCAATTAACTGTCCGACTTACAGAATAGCCCGACCCCTAATTCTCCCACCCCTTAAAGACCCCCAACATCTCAGATGTGTACTTGACCCCTGTGTTCAGCTAAATCCTTGCCTGTCTTTAAACTTAAGTGCTCATCAAATCATTAATCCGTCCAATACGTGACCACGAGATAGTCAGCTAGTCTAACGAAAGAGAAAACCCACGAAAATCAAGTTTATCAACCCACTAGACGCGCCGGGAACACTAGCCTGGATTTCCATCATAATCCCAACGTCCTTCACCTTTGCGCTTTAACCCAATAACAGGCATCATACCCTAGCGGTGAGTCACAGGCAACTTACAGGGAGTACAGCAACCTTGTGCCCCCTCCCCACATCATACCCACTAACGTCTGTTTCCACAAAGCTTTTTTTTTTCTGTTCTAGATTAAAATTCTTCCCTCAAGATCAGCCCTCAGATTTCTAAACTAAAACAACACGGGCCTGAGGGATCTAATGCATGAGGGTCTATCATGGGGGGGGGGGGGGGGACGTATATGATGGAAGGGATGTCTATCATGGGAGGGACGTCTATATGGCAGGGACGTCTATCATTAGAGGAACGTCAATATGGCAGGGACGTACACACTTATCACGACGGAGCGGGAATGAGGAAGGTTTTTCTAGGAGGAAATTGAAACCGGTGGTCTAACCAGTTGAGTCATGTCTGACTAGGTACCACAACATGCACCATCGCCACACAGACCACCCATGCACAGACCTCTGGAATAAACCACACGTTGGACCACTAAACCAAACACCAACCAATAATACACCAGGGTTTAAAGCAAACAACACAAATACAGGCAAGGACAGGTCTTGAAAATATACAGAAACCAATAGGGGAGGAATTGGGCATAAAGGCACTTAATAATATAAAAAAGTATTTTTTTAATATGCCATATTTATTCACAAGTGTAAACAAAATATAAACTCACACAAGACAAGTTTATCAATGTAGTCTATGCATAAAGATACATTTAAACACATATCTACTGACACGTATGTTTTATCTGTTGTTTGGTTGTATCTACCACATACACACCTCTAACAGTAAGTCATACAATTCTACACATTCACACAACACAGTAGCATATGTGCCCACACACATTCCCACACGATTTGCTTCCTCACACAACAGTTATGACGGAGTAATGTAGGAGTTGATGTGATGATGACTAGTTCAGGAATGTAGTACAGTGGTACCTGCTAGGAATTGGGTTTCACACCACAGGAAAAAAAATATTCTATTTTCTAAATGCTGCCAAAATAATTAAATGAGAATAATTTAAATAAATTTTGAATCTTTTTAGTAGTAAAAATTTTAATTTTAATTTTGCCCAGTTTTGGCAGGGACAAAAACATGAACCAAAACTTGGCTACGTTGCCTCTAGATTCATTTTAAGGTCTATGTTAGTATTGTTTTTCGAATACTTTGTCAAAATAAATTAAAAATGGTATACACAGTGACTAATGATGACATGTACACACACATAAGTATAGGTGGACTGTGTAAAACATCACACAATACCAATACAGGAAGGTTGATGATATAAGGAACCCTGAGATCCTAATGGAGAAAAAAAAAATCTGGGATAAAGCTGGAACAAAAGATTACAATAGTGGCCGTAGAGACCTTACAACAAGATGTTAAATTGTGATCGGAAACTTCTCATTTGGGGATCTTAAGTTTTAGAAAATAAATACAAAATTTACTTTAAATGACATCGAAAATATGGAGAAGAAATATTTAATGCATAGATACATTTGAAAGTTGTTGTTTTTTTAGTATTTGACTGGAATCCCATTTTTAAATGCGTTCTACTATTATAGAAAAATACAAATGGACTAATGCTTAATTATATTTGGTGTTATGCATCTCCCAGCATGATTAAAAAAAACCATGTAAAATATGAAGAAAACAAAAGTGCTGCTAGTTCACAACACAGATAGAAGGCGGTGCTACACACTGGCTGTGTAAGGTGTGTAGCTAGCTATGGAACATGTGTAGCAATCTTGACACACATATTGTGGGCCCAAAACTGGGTCACAAATCAAATGTCACATCGACTGACATCTCAAATGCCATAGCACAGAAATCACAGCTGATGACATCGGGGGCTAATGTTGACTAATTATCTGACCTTCGCCACTAATTAGCCAGGTTTTTCCAACGTTTTTTTTCTCTCCCACCGTCAAATACGCTGTGGCAACCCATTCAAATTTTGGCAAGAAAAAATAACAAGGCATGATTAGGTTAGGTCTAAGTACCGCCAGGTAACACATTGTGTTGTGTGAAACAGCACTTAATAACGTCTTATAATGGCTAGGCTCGAGCTAAATAAACAAGCCGAATGTTAAAATAAAATGTGTATACACTTTATCAAGTTACATAGAATCCAGCTTGATATTTTGCATGTGAAGAATGAAAAATAAAATGTGATGTTCACACTTTGTCTTATTCTGCAGAAGACATGTTGCCATTTATGAAAAATAAATCAATGAACTTTGTCTTTCAGCATTTTTGATGTAGTCCTGTAATAACTTGTGTCTTGTGAAGACAGATAATAATTTGTGTCTTGTGAAGACATATAATAAATAACACACATATTGTAGAAACAGGGCATTTTGGAATCATGTTTCTTTCTTGAGGAATTGGTGAATAAAGTTAGTCAGTGATCGGGCGAGCAAGTCACGTGCACATAGACTCCTTAGTAGGGGAATCTCTTTTGGTGAGGTCTGCCACTTCTTCGTGTATGTACATTGTCTTAGTGGCTGTGTTCTTGGTGGTTGTAATGTTGGCGTTGATTTTAACCACGGTTGTAAAACTTTTTAAAATTTGTTTTTTTTTAAAGTCAGTCTGACGAATGTCAAAACACTTTCATAGATGTGTCAGATACTATAGTAAATGCCATCTGACATTGATGTAGATGCCCAGCCAGGCACTGTCCCAGGAGCCCTGCCCCCCGGGGGGTCAGACGCTGCTCTCGATACCCTGAAGCCTGGGCTGGAGGATCCTGGGCGAGACGCCGTCGTTGAGATCCTGCTCGAACTCCAGTAGTTGGCCCATGAAGTTGAAGTTGGGCGAGATGATGGCCCTTTTACCCTTGACGAACTTGTAGGCGTCGGCCATGGCCATGCGGGTGTGCTTGAGGAGGTATGCGATGGTGATGGTGGCGGAGCGCGAGACACCAGCGTGGCAGTGGATCAACACCTTGGCGTTGTTCTGTCGGGCGTCATCTGTAGATGGTAAAACACGAGGGTTAAGGTACAGTCAACATGGGAAACACGAGGGTTGAATACAAATACAAATACAGTGTTTATGGAGGAACAGATGAGTTCAGAAAATGGTCACTATACAACTGAATATAATAATAAATAAGGATGTGTTGATTTGTAAAAAAAAAATATGCATGACTCAATAGAACTTTTGAACCAATCGGCGTAAACCACAGGACGAATTAGAAATCACGTGACCGGAAGTCGCAAGTTGAGGTCAGAGACAAACAAAATCCTACTCCTAGTCACCAGCTAACTCACATACACTAAAGTTGCTCCCCCCCCCCCCCCCTCCGCCATTGGCCGTTCACATGTGCTTAAGTTGGCGCCCCACTGGCCAAACACATCTGTCAATGTTGGCCTCATACGGAGCTGGCCGACTTAGCCAACATCCGTCAGATGAGCTCAGAGCTAAATCTCCTCCACCCTCCCAGTCAGTAAGACACGACTAATCTGGTCTAACACCAGTCATGCCAACCCCTCCCTTCAGACGCTTACAAACCAGACATGAACGTCGTGAATTAGTCACTTTAATCACACGAAATTTCGCACACAACTCCTCACATGAAAAAAAAAATGGGGGCTTGGTGGGAAAATTTAACATCAACAACATTACATTACCATATCCATGTCAAAACAGCTTCCTAATTGCTGTCTAGACATGACTGATACGTGTTTTCAAAAAAAAATATAAATCCCAAAATAATCGGTTTTATTAAAGTGACGTAGTAAGTGCAGTGTTACGTCATGATAAAATTCAAAGTGGCGTCAGAAAGTCGGTGACGTCATAATATTCGTTGCCATCGCCGAGTTAAATTGTCTTTACACGTGATTTAAACGGCTGCTATCAATCCACAAGAGGGAGGAAGGAAGGCGCTAAAGAGCGGTTTAAGAATGACGACAGCGAACAGCAATTTGTAGACATGGGCGTCGGCTGTGAAGGAAATCCGAGGCTGGCGTTAAAGCGATAACTCTGGAGAGAGCTAACCACGGTAATCTCGGCAAGGGTCACGTGACGCAGGCGGTTTACGAGAACATTGACTGGACAGATAAACGCACGGAACAAGTGTGTGTGTATGTGTGTGTGTGTGTGTGTGTGAGCAGTCGTCATGAGCTGAAATGATTTACGCATGCATGTGTATAGAAGAAGACAACACTTTGAGTGTAGTGGGGAGGGGGGGGGGGGTCCCAGATGGGTCGTTCAGATCAAAATCAGATCGGCCAATCATCGATGAAACAGGTTCAAGGCACTAGAGATAAAATGCTCATCAGCATGTCTATGACGCCATCAGTGTGAACTGAGTGGGATGGCTTAAGTAGAGGGTGCACAGCAAGTATGACAAGTAGACCCAGCAGACCAGGAGTAGCAAGTATAACAAGCAGACCCAGCACAGCAAGCAGACAAGGTGTAGCAAGTATGACAAGTAGACCCAGAAGAAAAAGCAGACCAGGTGTGGCAAATATGACAAGCACAGCAAGCAGACAAGGTGTAGCAACTATGACAAGTAGACCCAGCAGACCAGGTGTAGCAAGTATGACAAGTAGACCCAGCAGACCAGGTGTAGCAAGTATGACAAGCAGACCCAGCAGAGCAAGTATAGCAGACATAAGACGAGCAAGTGGCTGTGGAGCTATCAGCCACTTCTGGAACCGTTATCTGGGCGGCATGTCTTTGACTTCCTTCCACAAACTTAACTCGTCTGCTATCAACGTTTCCTGAAGGCGGTTATTCCGCTACAACAACCTTTGCAACCCCCCCCCCCCCCTCCCACGATTCCACTTGACGAAATTAACTTTTGAGAACATTTTTATCATCTCTTTATCACCTTCAAGAGAAAAAAAATCCGATTCTGTAGCATCAGGCTATAGCATCAGGTTAGCTAAAGAAATCTGTCATGATTTATGGTAACAAGAAGTTAGAAACAAATGAAATATCGATAAATCCTGGATTTAAAAAAAAAAAAAAAGTCAGCACTGTTTATTGAAATGGGAGATAACTGATGGTGGTATTAGAAAAGGGAAGCTACTGTAACATCAAATCGTTGTGAACGCAACAAAAACTAGAATTAAAAAGTCTTGCATTTAAAAAAAAAGCGAAAACAAAAATCAACTTAAAAAGTATTAAGGATATAACTGGGAAGACGTATAGTTATTAGGATATTTGAATACATTTTTTTTTTTTTTAATTCCCCGAAAATATGACTCAGGATATTAGTAAGACGCTTTAAGCACAAACCGCTCCTACCCCCGATCCACGGCTGACAGTCGTGATGACTGTATACTGGCTCAAGAGCTCGCCAATATATTAGAGAAAGGGCGTCTTTCACAGAGGGGAGGATCTGCGGGCGCCGCGGCCCACCTACACCTAAAGAGACCACGGAGTGGTGATATCTCCTCCAAACCATGTCCAAATTTAGCGCTCACGTTTAAAAAAAAATATATAATACGTCTATAATTAGATCAGCACGCTCTGGATTACTGGACATGTTGTTTACTGTTTGTTTACACGGGTGGAGGACGTCAACCTTTACGTGTTGTATCCTGAATGTTCAAACATCCTGATGTGTAATATCAACACATCATCTACACAGTGACTTCATGATCTCATCAATTATCGCGGGAAAGAAATTACATTAGAATGGATTTTTTAATTAAATTCTGATAAAGGCGTATTTAACAAACTAGTTTAAATCATCAAAATGTAAACCAAAGGACGGTTATCACTAACTGTTAACAAATTTTAACAGGGAGACAATTTAAGGACATGTTAACACATTGCCAACATAGAATTTGGAAGACGATTCATCCAAGCATGACTCTAGACTCAACCTTTATGTAAAGCATTAAAATGTCTCAAACTCTCAAAGGTGTTGAGTAAATAATAGCACTGTTTACAAGGGGGTAGTAGGGATCCAATGATTGCATGAAGCGTACAATAGAAAAATAAACAGGAAAAGCAAATGAAATAGTAAACATTTTATCCTGTCCAGTGTTTTGTTGTCAGACATCCTAAATCAGGATGACAAATGCACAACTCATCTCGGAAGTTGGGATTTAAAATTAGGATATAGGATGAGCTTAGGATGACTTCAAAGAGCTCACTTCGTACACAACAAGGAGTAAAGAGGGCCAAGTCACTCCATGTACACATTGGATGATCAAGTCACTCCATGTAGCCTACATATTGGATGAAGTTTTCTTCAGCCGTGACAAGGTCGACACTTTGACAGGGTGTCGACTCGGCCAATCATTGACTACTTGAGTCTATTAAACATTGACCTGGTCTAGATCAACGTGAGTCACTGTCACTTGAGTGACGTCACATTGACAAACCACAAGTTGGATGCGTACTTGTAGCCCAGGCAGGGGGGGGGGAAAGGGGTTTGGTAGGTTATGTACTTGGGTTAGGGGAGGTGTTATAGGCTATATTCTTGTGGCTATGGGAGGTGGGTTAGAGGTTATATATACTTGAGTTAGGGGAGGTTTTATAGGCTAGATTCTTGTCGCTATGGGGGGTGGGTTATAGGCTATATATATTTGCGGTGAGGGGATGTGGATTAGAGGCTATACTTGGTGCTATATGAGGTGTTTAAGGTTACTCGCTTATGAGTTTGTGCACTGCTGTCGTTTAGCGCGCACTATTAGGTGGTACATCTTAATTGGGGGTCTAATGAAAACGTGATGCTGGTCACCAACGTGTCACTGGTCACCAACGTGCCACGTGACGCTGGTCACCAACGTGCCACGTGATGCTGGTCACCAACGTGCCACGTGATGCTGGTCACCAACGTGCCACGTGACGCTGGTCACCAACGTGCCACGTGACTCTGGTCACCAACGTGACTCTGGTAACCAACGTGCCACGTGACGCTGGTCACCCACCAACGTGCCACGTGATGCTGGTCACCAACGTGCCACGTGACGCTGGTCACCAACGTGCCACGTGACTCTGGTCACCAACGTGACTCTGGTAACCAACGTGCCACGTGACGCTGGTCACCCACCAACGTGCCACGTGACGCTGGTCACCAACGTGCCACGTGACTCTGGTCACCAACGTGACTCTGGTAACCAACGTGCCACGTGACGCTGGTCACCCACCAACGTGCCACGTGACGCTGGTCACCCACCAACGTGCCACGTGACGCTGGTCACCAACGTGCCACGTGACGCTGGTCACCAACGTGCCATCCACCGCACAACTCGATTACGTCAGTTAGTGACCGCAGTGACCCACATTCGGCACAAGCAATTGAAAACGAGGCAGCCAGCAATAGCGACACGGGATACAGGCGCCACTCCAGACCGTTTGATCGAGTTACGACCCAGTGGTCAAGTTGAGCCACACTTAGCAGCCGCTGGTCAAGTGCTTGTTGGCCGTATGGTTTCAATTGCCAGTTGGAATAACGCGGTTAAGGCTTTGTCCCCCCCTCGCGTGAACAATTTTAGTCTCGGTCCTGATTCGTCAAGGGCGACTGGATGGTTTTATTAGTTCATGTCGACGGTGTAGGGGGAAACAGGGCTGTTGGTAAAATACTAGGGCTGTTGGTTAAATGACAGGGCTGTTGGTTAAATGACACGGCTGCTGGTTAAATGCCATGGCTATCGGCTAAATACCAACAGGGCTGTACTGTCAACGTTGACAGGGCTGTTGGCAGTAGGTCCCCTCTGGGAGGGATGAGTGGCCCACATAGAGTCCCCACACATGACTCCTCTACTCACGGATGAGTCAGTCCCGGGGTGTCGCGAGAAGATACGACGTCTCGCCAACGAGTGCTCAAGTAGGCGGGGTTCAACTGTTTTCAATTCGCCACTTGACGCCATCAGATTGGAAGTTTTATGACAAATACAAAAGTTGCTCATGGTATGGGATGCTATTTTCTGCTCGTTTTAATTAATTACAGCAATAGTGTCCCGTTGGTCTTTTAAATGACATAAAAATACACTACGAGCCTGGGGTA